GTACTGTAGGATTGGGTCTCATTTTGGTCCAAATGTAAAAAAAAAAAATGCTCTGCTCGAGTGTGATGTGCAGCTATCCACAGGAGGGGCCCACAGTATGCGGCGCTTTGTTGTCATGACGTTTACGGCGACGTCAGCTCCCAATGAACTCCACAGTTCCTAACGCGGAAATCAGCATACTTGTTTCTTTTATGAAGTCGTTTTAGATCAATATTGTGATTTAAAATGTGCAAGAAATGAGCAGACACAAGTGCAACAGGTCATCTTTAACCCCCCATTTACAAGTTCAGCACTGCCCCCTTGTGGCTAGAACACAGAGGCATGTTTCAGTGTGGTTGGTTGTGTTTTGTGAATGTTTTGTGGTTGTAGAATGTGAGAATATATATTGTGTTGCTCATCAGTGACCTCCAGTGGTAAAGTTGAATATTGCATGTGCACGCGCCCTGTGTATGTGCTTCCAATAATAGGCTCTTCACGCTTACCGGAAGACGTCTGGAATTACACAGATGACGACTTCCAGTGCAGTTACCGACAGTTACACTAAAAAATAGACTTGTGGACGACTAACTTGGGATTTAAGACCTACTTGAGATTTGAAACTTTATTTTATTATACATATTATTAATATCACTCAAATAGAAGTACAAAGTAGTGCTCCATAAAATTACTTAAAGATGCACTATGTAACTTTTTGGGTGGGGGTTCATCACATTTTTGTTTCTATGGAGATGTCATTGCTTTGCCTGGAATGTTCCACAGTATCCTCTTTACATTTATTCACTTACAGGTGGATTTATAGCTCAAAAATACTTTGAAAAACTGGGATTCTGACTGTGAGCGGCGTCGCCTCTCCACAGATCTGACCTGTAGCATGGCCTGGCTTAATCTCCATGAAGATAGAAAGGTTTAATGTTAACAGTTTTGAAAAGTGCTGTACAAATGAAATTATTAAATGCCACATTTAAACCCCCTTCTCCCCATTCCCAAACCTCGATTCGCCCTCCCCACACCCACCCTTAACAGATGCTGAAAATAAATAAATAAATAAAATAAATAAATAATAATAATAATAATAATACATTAAAAAAAGTAAACATTAAAAAAGTAAATAAATAAAAATTATAATAAAAAAATACCATAGTAATATTGACCAGAAAATAATAATAAAAATAAAGTAACAATAATTACATTAATAATGATGCAAATGAAATATATACAAATTACATACATGTGCATACATACACATAAACGCACACACTCAAGCACACACCCATAACAAATGCATTAAAAAAAATAAATAAATAAAATAAATTACATATTTAAGTATATGTGTGCAGGTGTCCATATTTTCCAGAACATATCTTGTTTGCCATTTTGTTCATAAGTCAGTTTTTCCAGGGGAATGGTTGATGATAACTGAGTTAACCATAAGTCCAGTGTAGGTAAATGTGAGGTTGCCCACTTCAAAAGAACACATTTTCTTGCCAAAGACATCATAATCATTAACATAGACATTAGGTAACATTATCAAAAAGTTTGTCAGGACAAAGATTTAACAGAAACAATGATTGACAGAATGACGACTTCAGAAAGTCATATGCATTGGTGTTATGGTTTGAAAGAATTGTATAGTACTCTGAGAATGCACCTATATATATATATATATATATATATATATATATATATATATATATATATATATATATATATATATATAGACTTGTGGGCAACTGACTTGGGATTTGGCTCAGACTCGAGACCAAAGATTTGAGACCTATTTGATATTTGCTACATTACTATCAAGTGGAAGTACAAAGTAGTGATCCATAAATGTATTTAAATGAACCAGTAATAAAAGGTATTCGAGTGTTAAAAGAGGATATGATGTCATGTGAAACATAGGCTTGTATTCTTTCTGTTATCTCTGAGTCATTAATCATCTGTGGACGGATGTTGACTTTTTTACAGCCTTGTAAAGCCGTGGGGCAATGGCTGATGGGTAAAAAGCAGGTTACACATTAACTCCGCAGTAAACGCACACAATGTTAACACAAAGCCTGTGTCCAGTCACGGCTCCGTCACCTGCACAGGTAAGACTTCTCCAAATCATAAAGTCTGAGCTGAAATACTGTATAAATAATGAGACAGTTTATTGCATATAAATGTGATAAAACGCTTTGCATGTCAGGGCAGTTAGACAGGGTTATTTAAAGATTCACTGTGTAACTTTTCAGATTGGGGCTCTGTCACCTGCTTGTTTCCATGGAGATGCTTAAACATAATTTATTATTTATTTTTAGGGGGAGGAACAAATCTAGCGTTATTTCATAGCAGAAAAAGTACCTTGAAAACAGGCATTCTTAAAATGAGTGGGGTCGCCTTTCCACAGATCTGACCTGTAATTTGGTCTGTGGCGTCACACTTATATATGAAGGTAGATGGGTTTAATGCCATACTGTGGGACATTTAGCCATGCAAAAGTCCAGTTTGGTTACAGGAATAGCCCATCTGTGTTTGTCTTTGACTGTCGTATAGGCGAGTTTCAGCTGACGTCATTGTTATTAAAAGCCCGCGTTGCATGCTGGGAAATATTTTGGTCGGAGGCAAGAAACACGATAGTGGTCAAACACAGTGCGTAACCTCACGTATTTATCCCAGATAATGGTAAATTCCTGCTGCATTATCGGATGCACAAATAGAAGCACGGAAGAAGGAAAATGTCGTATTCTGAGTGAAAAGAACCACTAACAGCAAATTAAATGACTTCCAAACATCCGCAGAACAAACGTAGAAGATCCTAACAAACCGTGGACTCCAACAAGTTCAACAACACATCGAGACACTTGGAGGTTTTCATCTTTTCTGTTGTGAATGACCCAGGAGTTTCCACCAAGTCACTGTGGATATCTCCGAAGTGAATATTTGTCCAGGTAGTTTGCGATTCCAACCAGAAATTTGGTTTGGTCCACCTTTTGTCGGGGTTGAAAAGGGTGATTTGGCTCCGTCGATGCTTATGACCAATTTGTGGTCAAATGGTCTTGGGTCCTCTGCCGTTAGAGTGGATAAATAACCGGGATCAATACCCTTTACGTGCTTTCTCGCGCCGTCCGTCATGTTGAATTAGTGTTTATTGAGGCCAACCAAAATAATTCCCAGCATGCAATGCGTGCTTTTGTCAACAATGAAACTCGCCTATAGTTTATCTGTGTTGTGTTGTGAACAAATGGCCAGGACACAGTGTTGCCTTTTGTGATTTTAAAGGGACAGTCTGGAATTTTGGACATAGGACCTCATTTCCTAGTGAGCCAGAGTGTTGGAGACGTGTGGAGACACTTTTTGAAATATTTCATCCAGTCCTTGTATTTGCAGAGGTCGCTGGTGCTAGGCTAGTGCATGTCAATGGCCATAGTTCTCCTGCCACTAAAAACAGTCTTTCCTACTCCACAAAACACCCAAAACAAATTTATTATTACAAAAGACTGTCCATGTAAAGAATTTTTAGAAGTAAACCAACCTTGCATTTGAAGGATTTTTGTCTGAGCAGCAGCAGTGAGTTGTACTTCCTGATAGAAAACTTGACAACTTGACACACTAACACCTATATTATCGGCAAAGTAAAATTCCGCTGCTGCTGAGAAAATAGTCCCTCAAAATGTGATGATTCATGTGATGCAAGGTTAGTTTTATTTCAAACATTATTCTATCAACACAGACATTCATATAGACAGTCTGGTGCAATAATAGATTTGCTTCGGGTGTTTTGTGGAGTGGATAAGACACATGTTTTTAGTGGCAGTATAACTATGGCCATTGACATGCACTAGCCTAGCACCAGCGACCAACACTCTGGCTAACTAGGAAAAGAGGTCCTATGTCCAAAATTCCAGACTGTCCCTTAATTCTGCATGAAACCAAAAATGTACTGGTCAGGATAGCTCTTCTCAACATGGCGAGCAGCACGCTACAAGGAGAGCAAGTCACGTTAACATCCAAACGTTAGTGTCTGTCACGACATGTGCAACAGTCCATTACAATAACTCATACATTGTACAAAATATTAGCTCATAAATGTCCCAAATGACATAAATAAGATACAATTAGGCTGCGTTCAGACTGCAGCCTGAAGTGACCCAAATCAGATTTTTTGGCTTCTATGTGACCTGTATCTGATCTTTTAATGACAGTCTGAACGACACAGATCCGTTTTTTTCAAATGTGACCCAGGACACTTGGATATGTGCTCCTGAAACCGATACATATCTGATCTTTTGACATGCGACTTCAGTGTGAACGGCCAAAGCGCATTCATTCCACCTACACTTTATCAACAAGCCACAAACGTCACTTTTCTGCCCTGAAGTAGGCGAAAATTGTTAATGAACTCTGTGTCACTGAAGTGAAGCACATCACCACTCACCACTCTTGGCTCCGTCTCCACATCCACATGTTCCTTTCAACAGACGTCGCTGCCGCTGTCCCACAAAACACCACGGCCAAAAACCTCGTCCTTCTCCTTCTCAATCTCCTCCTTAAAACATTAAGTTGTTCATGTTCTGGCTCCGGTACGAGAGGAACTTTAAAATCTCCAGGTGCTCAATGCTGCGTCCATGTTTGGACAACTTCCGTAAACACAGAGACGCTCACTGCGGTTGACGTCGTCGTGTCTCCAGTGCACATGCGGGACACTTTTGGGCTGTTTAACGTTCACACAGGGGATCGCATACAAGTCACATTTAATTAGAAATGTGAACGACCTCACAAAAACATCGGATTTCACAAAAAAATCGGAATTGAGCGTTAAGCCCTGCAGTCTGAACGTAGCTTTAGGCTGTGATCATAGAATTAAACAGAATGACATGATTTTTACTGACAGAGCTAAAATCAGTGACCCCCCAAGTGCCCATCTCGTGATTTTTGTTTTGTTTTGTTTTATCCATAGCTAAAATAAATGTCATTGCACTTTCTAGAATGTTCCACAGTATGGCATTAAACGTATCCATCTTGCAGTTGTTTTTGCTTTTGCAGGTGTTTTTACTGCTCAAAAATACCTAGAAAAACATTCTGACGGTGAGCGGGGTCGCCTCTCCACAGATCTGAAACTTCACTTCAGGTGATTGGTTGACCAAAGAGGATATCCTGTTTTTCTAATTAAATTCTTGCTTTAGATTCACTATATTATTGTATATTTTAATTTCATCTTCCATGGTTAATTACAGTTTGTTTGCTTTTTTCCTTGAAGGAACCAGCTCCTTGGATCCTGATGTTTGTCCATAATCTTTTGAAACCTCGCCGTAGATTAGTTAAAGATGTTGTTTCTGAAGAAAGCACAGGTGACGGCACGACAACACTGCCACTAAATGTCCTGTTGCTAGGTGAACGTCAGAGTGGGCGGAGCTCTGTGGGAAACGCTCTAATTGGTCAGTAATTCTAGTTTATAAGCTGTAATTCTTAATTTTTTATGTTTTACAGCCTCATCATTTTGGTCTTAAAATATTCATAACCCGCTCTCCATGATCCTCGTGTTATTTCATGTATTTTGTCCCTAAATTAAGATATCAACTTTAATAACAGTATTAATATTAATAACATTAATAATCAGGTGCTTTTCTTTTCCCCATCACTCCCGCTAGAGTTAATAACATGTTTGATTGACAATGTTGTTAAGTGGCATCACTTTCAACATGCTCGCTCCAGATTGGCTCTTTTGAACTCAGATTTCCAACGATGTCACTCTCCCTTAGTCCACTTCTTTACACATTCTCTGCTCATCTATTTTGGACCTGCCCAGACTCTGTGGTTTTTTGGAAGGAATTTGTCAAATACTATAAGGTGCACTGGATAATAAGGTGCATTGTCGATTTTTGAGAAAATTTAATGACTTTAAATGCGCCTTATAGTCTGAAAAATACGATACATACGCAACTTTATGTCCCATTTTACAGACATGCTGTTTGTTTTTTTCAGAATGCATCACACAAAAAGTAAACAATATTCATCATTAATCTCTTAATGATCTTAGCAAAATTTCATATCCATAAATGTAAATTCATTATTTGTAAACCCTCTTTTCCCATTTTCCTGTCCGAAATCCAGTATACACAGCAAAAACTGGAGGGTTAAAATTTTAGGGGAAAATATTTCAGAGTTGTTTTTAACACCAAAAGTGTTATTTTAACTATTTGAAAGTTAAATGGGGGTTCGAGTTGGGGTTATTTGCCAGAGTTGACGTGGTTGAGGTTAATTCAACTTCCCTTAGTGTTAATTCAACTTCCCTTGTTTTCTTGTGTTAATTTGGCTCCTCCCATTCACCACTTCAAACTCTTGTAAGAGAAGGAAGACCAGTTTGAACCAGTTTTGTACATAATTTCATTTTAAATGAACTTAAATAAAGTAAAACTAAAATAAAACTCCTCTGTATGTTAGTTAAATCAGAATAACTCTACAAAGTATAATCTGTTTACTCTCAAAACATTAATATAACTTTGGATTTTGGGGTTAAACAGGAACTTTGGTCCAGTGTTACTAAATTAACATTTCCAAAAATGTTAAATTAACTCTAGAACACATTGGACTCATATAAACTCTTAAAATTTATCTTTTTGAACTTAAAATTGATTCTGTGAGTCAATTTTAACACTCCACTTTTTGCTGTGTATAAAAAAAAGATCCACTTGCCCTCCAATTCGAAAGCTGTTAAAACCCTGGAAATAATTTAATTAATATAACTTTTTTTATCTGTATGGTTGGTTATGTGTGACCTTTGGCCATCCCTACCCCTCCTCTGTCGTTATCTCCCTGTCCTGTATATTTTATTATTTGTTATTCTTTGTATAATTAGTATTTTATTATTTTGTGTGTCTCATTAATAATAATAAAAAAGGTGGGGCGACAAAAGGTTTTATTTTGACAGGAAATAAATGTTGATACACAGTTTCTGCTCTCCACTGGCAAAGTTTCATAGTACACCTTTAAATATCGGTGTTTTTTTGTTTTTTTAAGTAAAATGTGCACTATTTTCTAGGTGGCGCTGTTTTCCACACCGGCCCCAGTTTTGGTGGAGTTTCTGTTACCTCACATCCACAGCGCGTCTGCCGGATTTTCCCGCGGTACTTCCGACGAAATGGGGCGGAGTCACACCTGTTGTTACGGGTGTTAGACATGCCTCCTGCTCAGCCCCGCCCACAGGAAGTACATGCGCTCTGTCCCGAGGGCGTGCACGTGATTGTGATGGTGGTGAGGGCAGATCTGATCAGTGAGGAAACACAAGTGGAGAGGGACGCGGAGGTAAACAAGAAACGTTTTGTGATATAGGCGAATTTCATTGTTGACAAAAGCGCACATTGCATGCTGGGAATTATTTTGGTCGGTGGCAATAAACACTAATTCAACATGACGGACAGAGCGAGAAAGCACGTAAAGGGTATTGATCCCGGTTATTTATCCACTCTAACGGCAGAGGACCCAAGACCATTTGACCACAAATTGGTCATAAGCATCGATGGAGCCAAATCACCCTTTTCAACCCCGACAAAAGGTGGACCAAACCAAATTTCTGGTCTGAATCGCCAACTGCCTGGACAAATATTCACTTGGGCGATATCCACAATGACTTGGTGGAAACTCCTGGGCCATTCACAGCAGAAAAGATGAAAACCTCCAAGAGTCTCGATGTGTTGTTGAACTTGTTGGAGTCCACGGTTTGTTAGGATCTTCTACGTTTGCTCTGTGGATGTTGGAAAGCCGTTTAATTTGCTGTTAGTGGTTCTTTTCACTCAGAATACGAAAAAGACTTTTTCCTTCTTCCGTGCTTCTATTTGTGCATCTGATAATGCAGCAGGACTTTACCATTATCTGGGATAAATACGTAAGGTTACGCACTGTATTTGACGCTACCGTGTTTCTTGCCTCCGACCAAAATATTTCCCAGCATGCAACGCCGGCTTTTAATAACAATGACGTCAGCTGAAATTCACCTATAGGAGGATGGAAGGGCATCTGACACACTTACATATCTATTTTTGCATCTTTTCAGAGCCTTTTTGGTCCAGACTGGTTTAAACACTCACTGCTCGTCCTCACTCACGCTGACCGACTGAAGGAGGCAGGGATCGATCCGTCACTATTCCTCACGCAGGCCGCTGATTGGCTCAGAGCTCTGGCTGATAGAGCGGTGGGCGGGGTTTTGTTTGTAGACAGCGGCTCCGATTGGCCATCACTCACAGGAGAACCAATCAGAGAGAGAGTTCTGAGTCTGTCTGCGAGAAATCACCATCAGACGCTCCCTGTGATTGGACTAGACACGGAAGATGGGATTTAGCCTTAATAACGTCATGTATTTTGATTTATATTTTTGGATTGGACATCGAATCTGTCTATCTATCTATGTATATATTAGAGTTCCTGCAGTTGTGTTCAGTGTTGCCAGATTGGGTTTAATAATTTCCACCCAATCACGTTTGAAAACCTGCCCTCAAAAAAACGCCCAACAACGTTTTGTCACAGAAAACCCATCATTGTTGGGCTTTTGAAAAACATTGCCAGGATTGAGAAAACATGTTCTGTAAAACCTTTGGTAAACTGTAGCACAGCGTTTCCATTATGCATAAAAATGAATATCATCAATGGTCGGCTATATCCTCGGCTACTGCAAGAACAAATACAAACACAGAGCCTCAAACTCATACATCAAATAACTGAATCTGTGCATCAGCTGCTGGGGAAGTCTCAACCATAGACTGTATACGTCTATGGTCTGAACATAGCAATCGTCTGTTCATTTGTGCACAGACCAGAGCACACCTCCATAAGACTGGACAAGAATAAAAGTCCCATATGGTTCCTTGTGTTATTGTGTTATTGCATATCGTGTTGATTGGTGTGAAAACAAAAAATGCCCAAACTTGTTGAAAATAGCTCAGATATTATTTGCCTGTCTAAGGCTTCCCCTCCCCGACCAACATAGTCAAAAGAAGCCCATTTGGATGGGTACCCACCCAGTCTGGCAACACTAGTTGTGTTTTATTTCAGCAATGAAAAAAATTGCACTTTTTTTTTTCTAAATGGTGTAATTTTTTTTATCTTGATTTTGTGTTCCGTCTCTGACCAGAGGCAGTGCTCAGAGGAATCCTAGTTACAAATATAACCTTCATTTCTTATTCTCTTTCTTTTCTTGAACTTCAACATTGGAATTTTTCCACTGTGACAAATAAAGGTCATCTTATCTCGTTTTAATGAGTGGTTGAAAAACACAGTTCCTCTCATAAATTTAATATCCAAGCATTTAGTAAAGAACGTGAAAGAACCTGCCAATGGGTTTGAATGATTTTGAATTGTCCATGCAGTTTAGTTTACAGTTACACATTTCGTTTCTACCTCAAAACGACTCTGATATTAAAGGTGCATTGTGTAACTTTTCTGGTGGAGAGTCTGCTATCTTCTTTTCTCCATGGAGATTTTCAGTTTGGCATTAAACCTTTCGATCATCATGGAGACCAAGCCAGGCAAAGTTACAGGTCACATCTGTGGAGGGATAACCCCGCTCACAGTGAGAAGGCCTGTTTTTCTAGGTATTTTTAAGCTATAAAAACTATTTAAGTACATGTCGGGTAGAGCTGTTTAATGCCATACTGTGGAATTCGACGAGAGCAATGGCATATCCATAGAAACGGGAAGGAGACAGACTCCAAATGAAAAGTTTGTGTTGATCTGACGGAGCTGTAGTTCTGATGGAACTCTGGGGATTTCACAATTCTAAAAAGTACATGTTCAGGAAGTACAGTAGAATCCTACAAAACTGAACCTCTATGAAAGCTGTGGACACACTGTCAGTCAAACACAGGCAAGAATGACAACAGAACCTCACATTGGTTTATAATGATTTTTAATTCTCTGTATTTTTGTTTACACATTTTCACCTCAAAACCATTCAGATATTAAAACTGTTTGTGTTGTAATTTTGGCCGTCTCATGAAGCAGTAGTTCTGTTTCTATCTGTAACAGCAGTAGAGCAGTAGTTTTATCTGATGGAGCTTTAGTTTTGTCTCTATCTGATGGAGCAGTTGACAAGAGTGGGCGCTCTGCACAGGCCTTTCCCTTTGACCTCGAAGCCGCAGCCTTTGTACTGAGCCACGCCCTTCGCGTCCACACACAGGTCGGGCTGAAGACGCTCAAACACACGCTCCTTCGACGGCAGCTCTTTGTCTGCTTCACCTAAAGAAAAGATTAAAATTTTTAAACATTCTATATTACACAAAATTAGCTCTTGTGAGCTTTAAGCCTCCTCAGAAACATTTGTTTTGTTTCATTCACACATGTTTGAGTGACACTTTATTCTGTCTACATCTCCAAAGCTCTAAATGCTGTGTTCCACCTTGTGATGTCATATAGTGGTAGTTTACAAGTGAACAGCTCCTTTTACATTTAGTTCAGTAGAGATCGGCAATTCCAGGGCTGACATCATCTAAATCACTGTTTCCCAAAGTCTGGGTCTCAACCCTTAGGTAGGTCGCAGGAGATTTTTCTGGGGGCCGCCTGATATGCACCTGATACATGTATGCCACTCTCCTCCTGCACCACGTGCTGGAACACGCTACAAAAACACACACAGTCCCATCTATCTCATGTTGAAATGTTGACATATTTCATATAATTTCTAATCTTTTTGTAATTATTTTATTGACAATTTTGATCCCATATTTCTGGTTCAATTGAACGTTGAAAAGAAAAAGAAATGTTCTACATTTAATGTCCAAATAGTTGACTTATGGATCCTTTTATTGCTGCTTCAATGACTGTTTTTCATTGTTTAAAACGTATAATATTATTACTAATTGTTCAGAGAGACACGATCACTCAGTCAGCAATAAAATATCTTCATTAATGTTCAATAATGCTCAAATCCACCTTTATTTTGTGATTTATGAATCATGTCTATTGACTTGGGTCGTGAAGGTTTGTGACTTCCCCAGAAAAAAAAGTTTGGGAAACACTGATCTAAATTATTCTAGTGAAGGTGTATGAAGTTTAAAAACACAATGGAGCACTTCCTGTCTTACCACATGATATCACAGGGTGGAACATAGTGTTTCATTTTTGTGAGAAAAACTCAGTGTAAATCTGCAGGGTTTGTGTGTTAACCATGTGTGAATGAAACAAAACAGAACTCCAGGTCTGTTTGTGATGAGGAAACAGCATTAGAACATAGATCAGAAACTAGAGTAAAATGAGCCCTTCAGTAAAAACTATGGCAGCTTTTGACAGGTTTAAATGTTTTTTGATGCAGTGTTCGTCCACACTAATCTGATTGAAAATGGCTCCAGAGACGGAATGATCTAATTCATTTGAGTATAGATCTGATCTGTCTCTGTGTGGACACCTGAAAACGCTGATACGCTGATGTAGGTCTATGCACTGTGAAGTTATTCACTGCCAAAACACTAAGAGGCTAGAATATATGTTCATTCATATATACGGTCTATATGTACGACCTGCAGACGTATAATTTCTGAAAAGTTTCACAGGAACCATCTCCAACATGATAGAAGCACTGAACAGACTCACCATCAGCAGAACACCCCTCTGTCACAGAAAAAACACACATAATCCACTGAGTCATGTCCTTTAGTCCGACAGAAGCTAAACCTCATCAGCGCACAATAGCGAGCAGTTTTTTGAGCACTTAGTTTATGCAAATTAGTCATGGGGTTTTAAGCTTCGCTTCTGTAAAATGTAAACAAATATGCTCAAAGCTGTGTGGGTAGGGAAGACTTGTGGACACAGAAACGACGTGTCTGGACGCAAATCGTTTCTGATACAGTGATACAGTGATACGTGAATTAGTTTCAATGTAAACATAGTCTTAGTCCACTTCTTTACTCAGTCTATGTTTGTACCTGGGAAGTTGAGGAAGGTGATTCTGTCTCCGGGCGCGGACCCTGGGGGCGGAGTCAGCAGCTCGATGCAGTCTTTTGATTGGCTGCAGCAGATGAGACGCGCCTTTGAGACCACTCCCCTCAGTTTGCAGGCTTTGACGTTGCATATCAACACTACCATGGCACCAGGCAGCTAAGATTAAAAAAATATATATCATAGGACATGTTTTATAATTACGTAAACGATAATGATTCACTTGTTCTTACCTGGTCGAGTTGTGCGTTTGCCCCCAGTTTGCTGACCACAGTCCGGGGCGCGGGCTCTCCTACGTCCACTTCCTGTATGCTGAGCGAGTGGGCGTGGCTCTGGGCGCTAAGGACACGCCCCACTCTGAGGTCCAACCGCGACACGTCCAGACGAGGCTCCACCCCCAACAGGCGCTCGCTTCCCGTTCCCGATCGGACTGCGGCGACAAAAATACGCGTCAGGGCTAAACGTTTACACCAAGCTTAGTCAAACGCTTTTCTCCATGGAGATGTTATTTGTCTGGAATGTTCCACAGTATGACATTATCTTCATGGAGACCAAACCAGACCAGGTTACAGGTCAGATCTGTGGAGAGGCGACCTCGCTCACAGTCAGAATACCTATTTTTCTCAGTATTTTTGATCTATAAAACCACCTGTGATTGAATAAATATAAGTTAGAGCTGTTTAATGTCATAATGTGGAACATTCGAGGCAGAGCAATGACATATCCAGAGAGAAGTTTTCATATAGAACAGTAATAATATTTTGTCTGTTTCTCACCTCTCCTGTCGCCTTTCTTTTTGCGCTGTCCGTCTCTTCGATCCTGGCCAGGTTGATTGACAGATGAAGCGGCGGGTTCATTGGCGGGTGAGTCTGAAGAGGAGGCGGGGCTCGTCTGCTGAGGGGGCGGGGCTGGAGAGAACAACGCTTTCGCTAAAAAGAAAGAAAAAACAACAAAATAACAGAACACAATTGAAATTTCAGATATACACAGAAAAACGGTTGATGGATGAATGAGGAAAATAAATAAATAAATACATAAAGTATAGTATATAGTAGTATAACTTTTGTTGTTTGGACAATGAGAAAATTCTTTAATCTAGTTGTTTGTCAAAAAATATGAAGCTGATAAGATATTACAAATGAAATACTGGTTTGGATGTGTTATTAAAAGGGCCCATCTCATGCAAAATCAACTTTTCAGAGCTTTCTACCTTCTACCTTTTTCGTTTTTTAAACAAATTACAGCGTATTTCTGTCACCCTCCCATCAGACAATGAACTAAAGCTGATACAATGATGACGCGGCAGCTACACCTATGACACATTTGACTTAGCAAAAAGCGTTTCGCATTTGCCCCCTCCCCCACTCCACCGCCTCTGCCCCCGCCTCCACCCACTCACAGACCGTCCTGCGTCTGCACTGTACAGGTCTGCTGTTCTGCGTTATTTATCTTAATTTTTCGCATTAAACACACTTTTTGTGACCTAATTTGATCAAACATTATTATAGGATTCAAGTTTGCCCAATTCTGCCTTCTGTCTCCCCCTCCCTCCCTGAGATGGGCGGAGGAAGGGCGGCTCACTCAGAGCCTACGTCACGTTTGGAGGGCGGAGCCTGTGCTTTCTCAGGACGGGCGGGGGGATGAGTAAGAGTCGGACTTTCATAGTTCCTGGTCTGTGACTGTCTCCAAGAAATCAGTAAGATTTCATAACTACTGTGTAATAGATGTTCCAAAACCCAAATTGTGTTTGTTTATGTGCAGAAGATACAATGTGAAAAGAGTTATTTTGTATGATATGGGCCCTTTAAGATTAATTTTCCAGAGTTACTGTGAGCGTTCTGACCCAATCTTCTCCTCTGCTTGTCTTGTAGCTGGACTCTCAGATCCTCGATGTCTTTTTTCAGTTTGGCGTTTTCCACCAACAGTTTCTTCTGTTCCCGGACTGAGGACTGCAGCACTGAAAACACCAACACATGTGGTTAGGACACTTGGGTTCAACTCCCTTTGTGGGTGGAGTCTGCATTTTCTCCGCATCACTCTAAACATTAGACTTTATTGATTCATAAGGAAAATTATTTGGATACAGGAGCTCACACATCACAATATAATATAATAACAAAGAGCAAAAAATTCAATATAAGTAGCAAGGAGCCAATTTTCTGGTCTATTGTTATCTCTATCACTACAGACAAAGCACCTTTACACCGAAATCAAAGCAATGCAAAATGACAATAAAACCGTAGCACATTTGATACAGTGAAACAAAAGAAATGCAGTTTTCTCACGGGCTTTCTCTCTGGAGAGCAGGGCCTGAGTCTTGATGTAGTCCATGATCTGAGCTCCATCCTCTGGGTCCAGCTTCATCAGCGCCGCCGCAAAACTGGACAAAACAAGAAAATTTTACAGCTAAATGTAATTTACATAAAACGCAACAGACAGCAGGAGGCGTAACCAGCACAGCACTGTTGTTCTGAGGTTTGAAGCAGTTTAAATGAGGCTAAAAACAGATAGCTGCCAGTGATTTTCACTTTTCAAGAGTGTGTGGCCCAAAACAAACTTCAATTCAAGTTGATTTATTTATATAGTAGCACATTTAAAACAACTTCAGCTGACCAAAGTGCTTCACAACAAGAGAAAGAAACATTTACTGTACATATACATCTCTACAGATAACATGTGAAACCTGCAAACTAAAGTAATTCAAAACTGTGCTAATCTCAAGCCTTGTTGTAAAAATAGGACAACAATAGTAAAGTAGTAGTAGTTTAAGCCAGTTTACTTACTAATTACTTATTATTTGTACTCATGGTACATCTACTACTATAGAAGTAATAGTACTAAAGCTAATACTAGTAGAAATAATAATAATACATCAGTTTTATATAGTGCTTTTTTGGACACTCAAAGACACTTTACAGAGCATTATTCATTCACTCCAGACCCGGTGATGTAAACTACTACTGTAGCCACAGCTGCCCTGAGGCAGACTGACCGAAGCAAGGCTGCCAATTTGCACTGTCGGCCCCTCTGACCACCACCATCACTCACACACACACACTCCACTTTCATACTAGGCAATGTGGGTGAAGTGCCTTGCCTAAAGACACAACAAACAGTTTTTGCGACTGGTGCCTCACTGTGGCACCTGATTTTCCCAGTGTCTCCCATCCAAGTACTAACCAGGTCCAGCCCTGTTTAGCTTCTGAGATCTGATGAGATCAGGCTTTGACAAGCCGGTATGGCCACATAGTAGTAGTAGTAGTAGTAGTAGTAGTAGTAGTAGTAGTAGTAGTAGTAGTAGTAGTAGTAGTAGTAGTAGTAGTAGTAGTAGTAGTAGTAGTAGTAGTCGTGGGAGTAGAGGGGGGCCCGTGTGCCCTTTTTGCCCCCGGCCCCCAAATTTCTGTCGAAGGGTTTGGCAGTAGTATTTGTATTAGCAGTATTAACAGTAGTAGTAGTAGTAGCAATAGTAGCCGAGTAGTTGTAGTAGTCACATGTAGTACCAGTAGTAGTCGTAATAGCTGTAATGACAGTAACAGTAGCAATAATTGCAGTAACTGTAGTAGTCTGGCAGTTGTAGCAGTCACATGTAGTACCAGTAGTACTCATAATACCAGTATTAACAGCAACAGTAGTAATAATAGCAGTAGTAGTAGTTGTCTGACAGTTGTCACATGGAGTAGCAGTAGTAGTGGATGTACTGTATGTGAAACAGCTGTTGGTCTGAGCTCAACTGTGGATCTAAAAATAAAACATCGTGAAATACAACACGAAAGACTCGCTGAGAGGGGGAAGGATTACCGACAAAACACTGGAACATAACACAATATATTTATCACAATATCGATTAAAGGTCCTGCATTACACAAAACTGACTCTTGTGATCTTTTAGCCATGTCAGAATACTGTTATCTCCACAAAAAACAGACCCGGAGTTGTGTTTTGTTTCATTCAGTCAGTAGTTTTCAAGTGAACAGCTCCTTTTACTTTTAGTTTAGTAGAGATTTGCAGTTCCAGGACTTAAATTATCCAAATGATTCTAGTGAAAGTGTATGGAGTTTAAAAACACAGTGGAGGACTTCCTGTATGATCATGACATGACATGTTTTCTGTTTTAGAGAAGAACTCATCTTAAATATGCAGGTTTGTGTGTTAAACATGAAACAAAACACAACTCCAAGTCTGTTTGTGATGAGGAAACAACATTAGAACCTAAACTTCAGTGCAATAAAAACATCCACTATGAAAAACATGCTTTTATTTTAGTCTATTATTTGGCCAAAAAGTTACATACAATAGCTTTATCGTTAGTATATTGTTGTGTAAGTAGTAGAAGTAGTAGTAATAGTAGTATTTGGTAACACTTGGAAACACATTCAGCCTTAAAAGTGTACAACAGAATTTCAAAAACAATTGCTCGTTCTGTTTTTAAAAAGTTATGAAAAGGTATGTTTGTGATGAGGATTATAACAGATTAAAAAATAGCGTAATATGGGCCCTAAATATGCCTAAATATTGCCTCTGCTCAATTTCATTTCTCTCCAGCAACTAGGTCAGTAATCAAAATACAACAGACGGTTCGCAAAAACCCGAGTTCGGGCACCAGCCAATCAGAGAAAAGTCATATATTCTGTGTTGGCAACGATTCTCGAGATCGAGGATTTAAAGCCGGAATAAAAAGAATGTTTGGTGAATTTCATCAAGGGGAAAGACGTTATTGTCCTTCTTCCTACGGAATTTGGGAAAAGATTAATATACCAGTTAGCCCCGTTATCGGTGCATTACATACGTCACGACCAAATAGCAGTGATTGGTTAAATCATAAAAAGTACCTGCCTACCGTCGAGCGAATGAAATCTAAGGCTGCGAGGTCAAATGATTTGTACGAAGTTAAATGATGAATCAGGCTACCAAAATATAGGAAGACAATACACAAAATAGGTATGAGTCTACGTCATGAGTAAAAGTAGGGGTATGGTATTTCTAATTTCACTTTCGGGTCAAAAATCACTCCCCCTTCAGAGCACTATCACATTATATTTGGCGATAATGAAACTACTGCACATCGCATCGGGTTTGTCAAGTTGCTGTGTGCAGTTTTGTATCATGTTTTTGTATATTTATGGAGAATTGTCGTGTGGGAACGTGAATGATGTAGGTCTTGTACAGAATCATACAGCTAAACATAAGGAGGGTTTGAATAAGGCCCGGGAGAGATCGCTAAATGACTCAAACATGCAGGGATGACGTCTAAAGACATGTTTTTGATGAGGAAATGTTGTTATAACATGATAGAAAGGTCCGAAGAGTCGGTTTTGCATAATACTTCCTCTTTAAGTAATTTAAAAGATAAAATAAATTATAAGATTCACAAATAACGTGACATTCTGAACAGTTAAATCTGTTTCCCACCAACCAGAGCGCTGTTTTTTTTACTGGTCTAGACTGCAGTGTAAGAATTGACACCTGTTACGACAAATGGCCCAAAATAAACAAAGGATTCTCAACCAGTTGGAAACACAACACTGTAATAAATAAAGACGGAATTTAGCTTAAAGGGCCCATATTACGTTACTTTATGATCTGTTCTAATGTTTTTTCCTGGTTACAAACATAACTGGAGTTGTGTTTTGTTTCTTTCACTTAGAATTTTGGACATAGGACCTCATTTCCTAGTGAGCCAAAGTGTTGGAGATGTGTGACTTTTTTTTTCTTTTTTTTTTTTTAGACTGTAACAATATTTTGCTTGTAGTTGCACCTTTCTGACACTTGGAGGCAGTATAGAGTTTGTGGTCACATGTCAGGATGGCCGAGCGGTCTAAGGCGCTGCGTTCAGGTCGCAGTCTCCCCTGGAGGCGTGGGTTCGAATCCCACTTCTGACAGAGAAGTTTTGAGCAGTGCCAGTAAACAGCAGCAGAGTTTAGTAGTGTAAATGTGTGTATGAATTACAGTTAGACATTAGTAACAATAAAATATATTAATAAACACTACTTACTTCAGCCTATCAGCCTAATGTTTTTTCTTGATTACAAACATAACTGGAGTTGTGTTTTGTTTCTTTCACTCAGAATTTTGGACATAGGACCCCATTTCCTAGTGAGCCAAAGTATTGGAGACGTGTGGAGACACTTTTTAAAATATTCTATCCAGTCCTTGTATTTGCAGAGGTTGCTGGTGCTAGGCTAGCGCATGTCAATGGCCATAGTTATCCTGCCACTAAAAACAGTCTTACCCACTCCACAAAACACCTGAAACAAATCTATTATTACACCAGACTGTCTATATGAATGTCTGTGTTGATAAAATAATGTTTGAAATGAAATTAACCTTGCATTACATGATTCGTCACATGTTGAGGGACTATTTTCTCATATATCAATCCGCCGCTACCAAGCTTTCTATCAGGAAGTACAACTCACTGCTGCTGCTCAGACATAAATCCTTCAAATGCAAGGTTGGTTTTATTTCTAAAATTATTTTATTGACACAGATGTTTACATGAAAAGTCTGGTGTAATAATAGATTTGTTTCGAGTGTTTTGTGGAGTGGGTAAGGCTAACTATGGCCATTGACATGCTCTAGCCTAGCACCAGCGACCTCTGCAAATACAAGGACTGGATGGAATATTTAAAAAAGTTTCTCCACACGTCTCCAACACTCTAGCTTACTTGGAAATGTCCAATGTCCAAAATTCCAGTCTGTCTCTAACACTTCTCTCAGACTGAAAAGACTGTTCCACCTTGTGATGTCATGCGGTAAAACGGGAACTGTGTTTTTAAACTCCCTACACTTTCACTAGAATAATTTGAATATTTTCAGCCCTGGAATTGCCAATCTCTACTGAACTAAAGATAAAAGGAGCTGTTCACTTGAAAAATACCACTTCATGACATCACAAGGTGGATAAGATGTATGGAAGTAGCTATGATTTTGAGACGGTAACAACATTAGAACATGATTTAAATCTCACAAGAGTCAATTCTGTGCAATATAGTACATTTTTCTAATTATTTTTTCAGATTATTGTTTAGTACAAGCTTTAGGTGGTGCTTTAAAAGGCTGTAATATTTTTCCATGTTTATCCAGCCGTACCACAAAATAAACAGTAGATAAACACCTTTTACCTGCCCTCATTTCAAATGGGATGGGAGGGCATCTGACACAAACTAGTAGTAATAATATAGTCGTGTTTTGTACCTGGGGTTGATGATATCGTCTCCTTTGTCCATGTTTTCAGATGAGGGTCCCCTGTGTGTCTCCGTCTCTCTCAGACTGGACCAAACTTCAGCTGTGCCTCTCAGTCTCACACAGAGGTCAGAGGTCAGCCCCGCCCCCTACCCGTCCCACACGCGCCCACAACAAACATGGCTGCCACTCCTGTTTTCATAGTAGCACAGCAAGGGTGGTGTACACGAGCAGTCAGAAGTTTGGACACATGTTTTCCTTCATGTTTCTTCTTTATATCCATGATTGTTTTACACTGTAGGTTCTCACTGAAGCACCAAAACTATGGCAGTGAACAATAAAATAAAATAAAATACAACAAAATACAATACAATACAATACAATACAATACAATACAATACAATACAACTAAACTAAACTAAACTAAACTAAACTAAACTAAATAAAAAGCATTCTGACTGTGATCGGAGTACAGTTTCTACAGATCTGACCTGTAACTTGGTTTGGTCTCCGTGTTGATAGAAAGGTTTAATGCCATACTGTGAAACATTTCAGACAAACCAATAATGGAGAAAAGCGAACAGTGAACACTATTCACAAATTAGGAATTTTCTCAAATGAAACATGCTAAAAAATAAAAATAACATAAATAAATAATATAAAACATAAATAAAATGAAAAAAAATGTGTTCTCACCTTCCACGGTGGTTGGTTCTCCCTCTCATTGACAGTGACTCAGGGTTCTCTACCAGAGGCCTGGGAGCTTGACAGTTCTGCGCAGTATCTTTGCTGTTCCTGTCCTGCACTTTTCTGGACTGAGTTGTCCGTTGTTTTTCCCGGTATCTGTTGTAGCCTCTTCCAGTTTGGAGGTTACAGCCCTGAGTGTCCGATCAACACAGGCACCACTGATGTCTTCACGTTCGATGCTTTCTCCAGCTCCTCCTTGAGCCTCTGGTATTTCTCTAGTTTCTCGTGTTCCTTTTTCCTGATATTACCATCACTTGGTATTGTGATGTCCACCACCACGGCTCTGCTCTGTTTCTTATCCACCACCACTGTGTCTGGTTGGTTCATCACCATCCTGTCCATCTGTATCTGGAAGTCCCTCAGGATCTTGGCTCGGTCATTCTCCACAGCCTTTGGAGGTGTTTCCCACCTTGATCCTGGGGTCTCCAGCCTGTACTCTGCACAGATGTTTCTGTACACTAGGCCCACCACTTGGTTATGTCGCTCCATGTTTGTTTCCCTGCAGCATCTTACACCTGCAGTTCTGTGCTGGACTGTCTCAGGAGCCTCTTTGCACAGTCTCCACCGTGGCTCTTGTCTGGTGTGGTAGATCTGGGCCTCTATTGCTCGAGTGCCCAGGGCCTGTTCCTGAGCAGCCAGGATCAGTGCCTCTGTGTGTCCTTCAGACCAGCCCTCTCAAGTCATTGGTAGGATTTCTTGATATCAGCCACTTCAGTTCTGTTCCGGTGGTCCGCCCCATGTAGGGGCTTGTCCTGCCATGATGGTCCCTCCAGCACCTCTTCCTCTGGACCCCACTGTCTGAGACCTTCTCTGAGCTCCTCATCTGTCGGGGCCTTGTCAACTTATTTATTTATTTATTTTGAGTATTTTTAATACTTTTTAATACAGTATTTTGCCTGTAGTTGCACGTTTCTGACACTTGGAGGCAGTATAGAGTTGTGGTCACATGTCAGGATGGCCGAGCGGTCTAAGGCGCTGCGTTCAGGTCGCAGTCTCCCCTGGAGGCGTGGGTTCGAATCCCACTTCTGACAGAGAAGTTTTGAGCAGTGCCAATAAACAGCAGCAGAGTTTAGTCGTGTAAATGTGTGTATGAATTACAGTTAGACATTAGTAACAGTTAAAGATATTAATACACACTACTTACTTCTAAATCAGCCTAATACACTTCACCAAAAAATAAATACACATAAAGAAAACTACAACTACTATTAAAAGAAAAGAAAAAATGTAGAAAAACAGCATTCTGACTGTGGTTGGAGTACAGTTTCTACAGATGTGACCTGTAACTCGGTCTGGTGTCCATGTTGATAGAAAGCATTAATGCCCAGTGTTGGGGGAGTAACAGATTACAAGTACCGAAGTTACGTAATCAGAGTACAAATTATGAGTAACTGTATTCAGTTACAGTTACTGTTTCAATGAGAGGTAATTTCAGTTACTTTGTTGAGGATTAATGCCTCATACAGTTTCTGCTCATTAATTCGGCTAATTGACCTGTGCAGGGTGTGGGGTCCAATTAGCATAACAATGAATGTCCATAATGGAGCTTCCACACCTCTGCACCTGACCTGGCACTTATTACACTTATTGTTCTCTTGTTTGTTTGGATTTAGGTTTGAGGATGGGGTTGTAAATAGGAGATAGATGGTGTCTGAGGCCTCCATTTCTGTTTAGAGAAGGATTCTCTTTCTTAATAAAAATGGCTTCTTTCACTCCCCTCTCAAACCATTTTTTCTCTCTGGCTAAAATCTGTAACTCACTGTCCTCAAATGAGTGGCCTGTGGCTTTTACGTGGAGATGTACGACAGACTGAGGTCCACTGCTGCTAAATAGAATGAAAATAAAATATCAATGAACTTTTTTCTTTTCTTTTTCTTTATTTTTTTTTTGAGTGTTTTTGGACCGTAACAATATTTTGCCTGTAGTTGCACCTTTCTGACACTTGGAGGCAGTATAGAGTTTGTGGTCACATGTCAGGATGGCCGAGCGGTCTAAGGCGCTGCGTTCAGGTCGCAGTCTCCCCTGGAGGCGTGGGTTCGAATCCCACTTCTGACAGGAAACTTTTGAGCAGTGCCAATAAACAGCAGCAGAGTTTAGTCGTGTAAATGTGTGTATGAATTACAGTTAGACATTAGTAACAGTTAAAGATATTAATACACACTACTTACTTCTAAATCAGCCTAATACACTTCACCAAAAAATAAATACACAAAAAGAAAACTACAACTACTATTAAAAGAAAAGAAGTAGAAAAACAGCATTCTGACTGTGATCGGAGTACAGTTTCTACAGATGTGACTCGGTCTGGTGTCCATGATGATAGAAAGGATTAATGCCATACTGTGAAACATTTCAGACAAACCAATAACACCCTCATGGAGAAAAGCAAACAGTGAACACTATTCACAAATGAGGAATTTTCTATAATGAAACATGCTAAAAGTAATACATAAATACATAAATAAATAATATAAAACATAAATAAAAATGAAAAAAAAAAGTGTTTCTCACCTTCCACGGTGGTTGGTCTCTCCCTCATTCAGCTCGGGTTCTCTACCAGAGGCCTGGGAGCTTGACAGTTCTGCGCAGTATCTTTGCTGTTCCTGTCCTGCACTTTTCTAGACTGAGTTGTTCGTTGTTTTTCCCGGTATCTGTTGTAGCCTCTTCCAGTTTGGAGGTTACAGCCCTGAGTGTCTGATCACCACAGGCACCACTGATGTCTTCACGTTCGATGCTTTCTCCAGCTCCTCCTTGAGCCTCTGGTATTTCTCTAGTTTCTCGTGTTTCCTTTTTCCTGATATTACCATCACTTGGTATTGTGATGTCCACCACCACGGCTCTGCTCTGTTTCTTATCCACCACCACTGTGTCTGGTTGGTTCATCACCATCCTGTCCATCTGTATCTGGAAGTCCCTCAGGATCTTGGCTCGGTCATTCTCCACAACCTTTGGAGGTGTTTCCCACCTTGATCCTGGGGTCTCCAGCCTGTACTCTGCACAGATGTTTCTGTACACTAGGCCCACCACTTGGTTATGTTGCTCCATGTTTGTTTCCCTGCAGCATCTTACACCTGCAGTTCTGTGCTGGACTGTCTCAGGAGCCTCTTTGCACAGTCTCCACCGTGGCTCTTGTCTGGTGTGGTAGATCTGGGCCTCTATTGCTCGAGTGCCCAGGGCCTGTTCCTGAGCAGCCAGGATCAGTGCCTCTGTGTGTCCTTCAGACCAGCCCTCTCAAGTCATTGGTAGGATTTCTTGATATCAGCCACTTCAGTTCTGTTCCGGTGGTCCGCCCCATGTAGGGGCTTGTCCTGCCATGATGGTCCCTCCAGCACCTCTTCCTCTGGACCCCACTGTCTGAGACCTTCTCTGAGCTCCTCATCTGTCGGGGCCTTGTCAACTTATTATTTATTTATTTAATTATTTTGAGTATTTTTAATACTTTTTAATACAGTATTTTGCCTGTAGTTGCACCTTTCTGACACTTGGAGGCAGTATAGAGTTTGTGGTCACATGTCAGGATGGCCGAGCGGTCTAAGGCGCTGCGTTCAGGTCGCAGTCTCCCCTGGAGGCGTGGGTTCGAATCCCACTTCTGACAGAGAAGTTTTGAGCAGTGCCAAAAAACAGCAGCAGAGTTTAGTCGTGTAAATGTGTGTATGAATTACAGTTAGACATTAGTAACAGTTAAAGATATTAATACACACTACTTACTTCTAAATCAGCCTAATACACTTCACCAAAAAATAAATACACAAAAAGAAAACTACAACTACTATTAAAAGAAAAGAAGTAGAAAAACAGCATTCTGACTGTGATCGGAGTACAGTTTCTACAGATGTGACTCGGTCTGGTGTCCATGATGATAGAAAGGATTAATGCCATACTGTGAAACATTTCAGTCAAACCAATAACACCCTCATGGAGAAAAGCAAACAGTGAACACTATTCACAAATTAGGAATTTTCTATAATGAAACATGCTTAAAATAAATAAATGAATAAATGAAAATAAAATATCAATGAACTTTTTTTTTTTTTTTGAGTGTTTTTGGACTGTAACAATATTTTGCCTGTAGTTGCACCTTTCTGACACTTGGAGGCAGTATAGAGTCTAAGGCCGCAGTCTCCCCTGGAGGCGTGGGTTCGAATCCCACTTCTGACAGAGAAGTTTTGAGCAGTGCCAATAAACAGCAGCAGAGTTTAGTCGTGTAAATGTGTGTATGAATTACAGTTAGACATTAGTAACAGTTAAAGATATTAATACACACTACTTTCTTCTAAATCAGCCTAATACACTTCACCAAAAAATAAATACACAAAAAGAAAACTACAACTAC